AGGGGAAAGTGGTAGCTTATGGCTCACGTCCTTGTACCACGAGAAGTAATTACCTCCTATCAGCACGACCTAGAGTTAGCAGGAAGTTGATCTTTGCCTTGAAGATTTGGGAGACACTACCTTTAATGGTGAGAGGTCGAGGTGTTCTTTGAACCAACAAGAGTTTGAAGTACCTGTTTACACAGAGAGCTTGAATTTGAGGGGAGTGGTGGGTTCATTGAGGCCTTGTTTTGGTTGCACTATCACCCGGGAAAAAGGCCAATGTTGTGGCCGATGCCCTTAGTAAGGAAATCCAATTAGTGATGTAGCTCTTGTATAGCCATTCGGGTAATGGGAAGATGTGGGTGTACTTGGCGAGTTTGAACTTGCTTCTGAGTGAAATCAGCTGAGGCTGCGGCCTGGTTTTTCTGTTGTTTGCACCTAACCACTTGTGACACCCGTAGTGTTAGAGGGCAACAGGGAGGTGATCTTTGACGGTAGCACCCTCCGAAGTAAGATCTCAAATGGGAAGTGTTGGAGACGGTTTGACGTGTGTATCTCGACCTGAAAAAAGTTTTTTGTTTGAAAAAAGAAAAAAAAATTTAAACCCGAGACCGTTTGTTTGTGCCGAGTCTTGCCAAGAGGAAGTCTCCGAGAGTTTCCATCAATTTACGTCTTGCGGTGCCATCCGGGAGGCACTAAAGATGTATCGGGATTTGGGTCGCCAGTTTTGGTGGGCGGGGTATGATGTACCTTACTTGCCAGCAAGTGAGGCCAAAAGCACAGAGGCCAGCGGGTTCTGTTGCACCCTTGCCTTTGTCGCAGTGGAAGTTGGGAGCAATGTCACTATGGACCTTCGTTGTACCCCCGTGTCTTTCCGAGGACTTCAGCGCGCGCGTCGTGATGCATTGGGTGGTTGTAGACCGGTTGACTGTCGGCCGACTTCATTCCTATGCGCGTGAGAGTTCGGTAGATTATCACGCCGCTTGTATATTTCGGGACAGTAGTCGAGATTGCAACGGGGTCCTTCAGTGACGATAGTCCTCAGATAGAGATCCCTCTTTTACCTGCTAGGTTGTGGCAGAGTTTGCAGAGTGGCCTTGGGCCTAGTTGACTTTTAGTACGGGCTTCTCAATCCTCAGACTGACGGCAGTCCCCGAGCGTAACTATTCAGATCCTTGAGGATATTGCCTTCGAGGTTTGTCCTTTAGAAACTTTTTTTTTTTTTAAGTTGGGACCCCCCCGTGGAAAAAAAAAAAAAAAGAAAAAAGGGCCCCCCCAAAATTTTTTTGCTTTGGTGGAGTTTGCCTACAATAACAAATTGTTTTCAAAGTCTAGCATCGGTATGGCACCGTTTGAGGCCTTGTATGGCCGACCGTGTAGGTCTCCAGTGTGTTGAGCCGAGGTTGGTGATGCACCTTTGTTGGGTCTGGAGTTGGTTAGGGAGACGACGGAGAAAGTTGAGCTTATCCGTAGGAGGCTTGTTACAGCCCAGAGTCGCCAAAAGAGTTATGCCGACTGTAGGAGGAGGCCTTTGGCGTTTGAGGTAGGTGATCATGTCTTCTTGAAAATATCACCTAGGTGAGTTTTGATGAGGTTTGGGAAGAGTGGGAAGTTATCCCCTCGATTTATCGGTCCCTTTGAGATCCTTGAGAGGATCGGGGAGGTCGCTTATCGTTTAGCCTTACCACCGCAGTTGTCTGGAGTGCATGACGTGTTTCATGTGAGTATGCTTCGGAAGTATGAGCCGGATCCGTCCCATGTGTTAGATTGGACCGACTTGGAGGTAGATGAGGATGCCTCGTATGAGGAGAGACCGGTTCGGGTCTTGGATAGGCGGGATCAAGTCCTGCGTGGCAAGACCATTCCTTTGGTGAAGGTTTTGTGGAAACATCACGGAGTGGAGGAAGCCACTTGGAAACGTGAGTTGGAAGTTTGTGAGAAATATCCAGACTTGTTTGTTGATGTGTAACCAGGTATTGGTAATTTTGTAATATCGTTGAACTTTAAGAACATTATATGTGTCTTGAGTTGTAAAACATTGTGAATGTTTTGGTTAATGGAAATTTGTTATAACATTGCATATGTTCAATGTATTGTGGAAGTGCAGGCATGATGTTAATATTGCTTGTATTATGGAATTTTGGAAAATGAGTTGAAATTGGTAAATTTCAAAGGAATGCATGTTGATAATGCATGTTGTTATGTGTAATGAGAAATGCCTCTTGAAAGAGATGGGATTGACCGGTAATGGGTCGGATTGTTTAATATTATGTCGTAACATTGTTGAACATGGAGAAAACCTGTTTTTGAAAAACTTGTGTTTAATTTCGGGGACGAAATTCTTTAAGGGGTGGAGGTTATAGCGATCCTGGTTATCCCTTCACTGTTCTGTTGTATTCCGGACTCAGTTCCGTGGAGTTGGTAGTTGTATCTATCTTGTTGTCATCCTTTAATTCCATTTGTTCGGGTTTTAGGATGTATTGGGCAGAGTTGTTACAGGTTGGTTGGGCTTTGGTTTCAATTCTTTGTTGCTTAGTTTTTAGGAGGTCCGCTTGAGCTGGTCTTCTTGCGCTCGAGCGGAGATTGCACGCTCCCAGTATTTTGGTGCTCTGCAGAACTTCTGCAGGCATGTTTTTTACGCTCGAGCGGATTTCTTTACGCTCGAGCGGTGGCGCTCGAGCAGGTATTATGGCGCTCGAGCGGGTAGTACTTTTTGGTGTAAGTTCTGGGAGGGGGAAATCTACGCTCGAGCGGACTGGTTTTCGCGCTCGAGTGGATGTACTTTATTCTTGGGTCTTGGCGCTCGAGCGGGCCTTATTGCGCTCGAGCGGACCTAGTTTTTTGTTCTTGACGCTCGAGCGTTGTGTTCTCCGCTCGAGCGGGAATGTCGTATATCAGTTGGCAGGTGGGCGTTTTAAAATCATTTTTTTACATTCTCTCTCTCTCTCTCTTACTTTCTAAAAAGCCATTTTGAGAGTTCCTCTCTCTAGAAACTCCCTTCTCTCTAGGGTTTGATCTAGTTAGAGTGTTTCCTTTTTCTTCGGCCTTTGTAAAAGTTGGGTTGATCGTCGAGGGCTACACATCGATCCGAGAATATTGAGTTTTGGAGCACGTTGAGTTTCTTTACCTTCTTTCCTTGAGCTCCGAATTTGAGGTAGGGATTCCTACTCACTCTTATGGATTTTAACCTAGATTTTGAGCTTATTGTTTAAATGGTTGATTTTGGGACTTAGGGTTTCAAAATGTGTTAAAGAGGGTTTTGTGATTTTGGGCTCATAATATGTATTTTGGGTTTCAAAATGGTGTTATTGATGTTGGTTGTTAATATGTAGACCATTGGGTCAATATTGGAAAATGGGGTAGAAAACCCTAATTGGTTGTATAAATTAATTGGTATGATTAATTTGGGAAAATTGTGGTTATATGGAATTGAGTTAAAAATAATGAAATTGGTTCATTCTATGGTTGAATAATGGAGTTAGATTTATTAATCGCTCACTTTTGAAAACATTGATATTTTATCTGTTGGAACTTTTATTATCTGTTTAGAAATAATTGCTTGGGCTACCGGTGGAGGGTAGTTTTGATTGTTGTAGACAATGCATAATGATTAGGCAAACTAAAACTAATCAATTGGATATGTCATAGAGTATGACGATTGATAGAATACATTAACGTTATGTATTGATTGATTGTGTATATGACCTTTGCGTATATACGTTGTGTGTGTGGGAGGAGATAGGGGATGTACTCCACGGTTTAGGGGAAGATAGGGGATGGACCTCTAAACCGGATGTTGTTTGAGAGGAGATAGGGGATGGACTTCACTGATACAGCTCATATGCTTGTCAGATAATGTGTTGATATAGCTCATATGCTTATCTTGGAAGTGTTGATACAGCTCATATACTTATCATTGGAAGTGTTGATATAGCTAATATGCATATTTGTTGAAATGTGGATACAGCTTGTATGCTTATCTGTTGAGATGTAGATACAACTAGTATGTTTATCTATTGTAAAATGGGAAGTGTTTAATATGAGTCATTGTCTCATATGAGTGGTTGGCCAGGTTCTAAGCCATTGATGTAAATTGTGAGATTGATAAGAAATGGAAATTGAAATGAAACATGAACATAGTGGTCATGAAATGGAAATGGGTTATGAATTGGTTTATGGAAATTGAACATTTATCAATTGCTAATGTCTTAGTCATTGCTCATACTGTGTTTATCATATCTCTACTGGGCGTTGGCTCACCCTTTATGGGACATTATTTTCAGGTACAGGTAGTATGCCACCTCTAAGGACATAGCTTGGATGATGATGAGAGTTGAAGACTCCTTTTGTTTATTTTGTTTGTATTACATGTATATCAAGCCAAAGGCTTATTTTGTATAGAGTTAGTATTCTTCTTTTGTGTAACCAAGTGTTGACTTGGAAAGCTGTAAGTCCATAGGGCATTTGCTTTTGTTGTTAACATGTAATACAATGTAAGAATTACTCTGATGAATAGAAATGGTTGGTTTCTTTTGTATTAATGTATGTTTAAAGTGATGGGTTTTATGTATTATTTTGAGGGCGTTACATTATTGTTTTAATTTACTCGATTTTGTCCCTTAATTTAACAGATTGTGTTATATTAGTCTAATAAATAATGGCCATTAAGTTTGATGGATGAAAAGTTATTACATGCTCAAATGATGTGTCAATATGGTCCATGTAGTTTACACGATATGTCAATTTGATCCCTGTTGTTCTAATTTACTTAATTTTGACAAGGATCAAATTAACACATCGTGTAAACTATAGGGATCAACTTGACACATCGTTTGACTTTCGTCCCCCAAACCCAAGAGTCGTTTTTCAATGGACTAATATGACACAATCCATTAAATTAAGAGACAAAATCAAACAAATAAAAATAATAAAAATTAAATTGACATATCGTGTAAATTACAAAAATTATTTGCATAATTTACCCTAATTTACAAATTATGGTGGGAAAGGGAGTTTAATTAACCTACCCCAAGGGAAAGTTCGCCCAGCAATGCATCATAAGCCCCCTCGTCATCAAAGGGAATGAATTCGTAGGGAACTGAATACGGCAGCGCCTCCATTACAGCTTTGAAAACATCTATGCAGTACCCATCGAAACTCAACTTGTTAGTGATAGCATCCCTCTTGACCCTCACAAAATCACTATTATAATCCCTCTGTAAAACTCCCACTCTCAGCACCTTTCCATTTGTTGGCACATCCCATCCCTTCGGCATACATGTAGTATCACCTTTTCAACAAAAATAAATAAATAAATAAAATATGTAAATGCAGAATTTTTTCAATAAGGTGATGCTATAATGACTTATTTATTTCTATCATATATATATTTTTTTGGTTAGTTTAGTTGTTGCCATTGAATTGGAGATGTACATGAGTAGTGAGACTGTTACACTAATATTGTGTTGACTAATAAAATAATAATGAGACTATTACACCAAGTGTGTGAAACAGTAATCAAAATGAAGAAGAAAAAAAATTAACAATTTATTGGAGTAGGCTTTTTTTCAATACATAGAATCCAATTATGGAAATTGTTAGCTCACCTTGGACTTGGTTCGATAATTTAGACTGTTCATATTATATGATTTATTAGTAGATCATTAATGCAAATATATATATATATATATATTTTTAAAACACGAAGGTAATCTAACTTCCAAATATGTGCCATCTAATGTTTATCAATTTAATTTTAAATATGAATAATAATTTATACAGCAAGACCTAAAATATGAACCATCATTCCAACTTGATCCTTAAATGGATAGAAGGTAAATTATCAATTAGTCCTATCTAATGGACTTAAATATTTATAAATTTTGTATATGTTTTTAATACATCTTAAAATATTAATTTGACCCCAACAGATTTTAAGATTATTAATAAGTGAAAAGATATGTAAATAAATTAGGTCAATAAGACCGGCCTATATCGAAACATAGGAAGCCTTGTCCCATTTTATTAAGAAAAAATAAAAAAGGAAGTTGTGTAGAAGAGTATCAAAAGAAAATGATTATTGTACATAATTAAAATAGAAAAAATAAATAAATAATTATAATATGTGATTGAGATTTATTTTAAGTGTTATGTAAGTTAAGTTTAAAATAAATTTAAATCACACACTACATTATCTATCTATGTTTTAATTTCTATATATATATAGCATTGTTATAATAAAAATAAAAATGAAAGTAGTCTAGGAATAGTTGCTAAAATGGGAAAAATTCATATGTTAGTATATTATATCACCTGGCCACATAATAGCTTTATGGTTGGTCCGAGATGTCGAGTAATTCTTGCAACTCGTATTCACTGCATCAAAGTTGATTTCTTTTACAATTCCTTGTTCCGGTGTCCAAAATCCGATCCCTCTCGGCCCATTTTCGGTCATATTCACAATCTCAAAAGTAGACGATTGTATTTGCCCATCGACAAAGCTGAAATCTCCACTGAGTCCTCTAAATCTAGGAGCGCTTGAAAGAGCTAGGCAAAGATCAATACCATTTTGAGACACTCCAACACTTTCAAAGTCGGTGGTTGAATTTTTAGCAATGTTTGAAATGCTCAAATTTAACGCACCAACTTTCTCAACCGCCATTGCCAGGGCTGTGGCCGCATCGTATGCCCATAACCCAAAAACATTTAGATCACTACTAGTTTTCTCTTGGTGTGCTTTGTTTTTCCACCTACTGATAAAATCTTCAAGCTTTTTACTTTTTGGAACGTGTGGTTGTACACCAATCACTCCTTGCATTGAGGCAATGATAATTGAAGGGTCGAAAAAATTAAAGGAATTCGTTATCCCATCAGTTATGATCCAGACATACCCTTCACTCATCATCCCGAATTCATTTGCTTTGGTAAATAAGCGAGTGCTAAGAGAGTGAGTCATGTGTACTATAAAAACCCGGGTTTGCATAGTCATCAGCTTGTAAAGCTCTGCAACAATTTCTTCATCACTGGCCAAAGGATGAATTATACTTTTGTACAGAACACGAATTTTGTTTTCTTGAAATGTATCAGTCAAAAATGGAATTAAACCTTCTCCATACTCATCTGCCGTGTAAACGGATACAACTTCTTTCCATCCGAAAGCTTGAATTATAGCAGTTATAGGTTGTACTTGAGATGAGTCATTTAGAGCTGCTCGGAAAAAATATGGACTCCGAAGATAAGAGAGGGAAGGACTTGTTGTAGAGAATGAAATGATGGGGACATGAGCTTGTACTCCAAGAAGAATTAGAAAATTTGCTTGCATGGATGTCAATGGCCCAATGATGACTTTCACTTGTTCAGTTTTCAGTAGATCCACTGCTGCATTTTACATGTACAAGAATGACATGATATTATTAAGATTAGGGTTTGGTTATGGTGTACAACTTACACCTTACACCTTATACCTTACACTTACACCTTACACTTACACCTTTTGTAAAAAATTAAACCTTACACTTACACCTTTTTTGAGGTTGCACACAATGTGCAACCCACTTACACCTTACACCTTACACTTACACCTTACACTTACACCTTATACTTATACTTACACCTTACACTTACACTTTTTGTGTAAGTGGCACATGATGTGCACTTGCACACTTAAGAAAACTCCTATATTAATATTGTAGTTGCATTGGTAATCGGCTACTTGAGTTCTATTTGTTATATAAGTTAAACAACTTGCTATTTGACAAAAAAAAAAAAAAAAAAAAAAAAAAAAAAAAACTCCATAGCTAATTTAACAATTAACTTTTGTCAATTTAATAATAATAATTTTAATAATTTAAGGTTGACTTTCTCCCTAGTTGGAATCCCAACTTATGGCTTTTGCTAAATTCACCACGGAATCTATTTCATGATTTTCATTATTCATCTTATTAGATTATTAAAAAAATTATCTATTTGAAAAATAATAAATAAACAAATAAAATCAAATTAATTGAACAACTATAGTCATATGATTAAATTGCATTTGTTTTAAAAATAGTCAATCTATTTTCAAAATCATGCCATTCATTTTTTAAAAATAAAAATAATTCAATGATGAAATTACAATTATTCGATCAATATAACTAGGGATGTAAATCTGGCCCGGCTCGGCTCATGTTGGGCCTCGCGGGCTCCTACCAAAATTCGGGCCGAGTCGGGTCGGGCCACTGGCCAAAAAATTAAGCCCAAGCCTAAGGGTATTCGGGCATAGGGCAGGCTGGTGGTCGGGCCTCGGGCTTGACCATTTTTTTTTGGTTTTTTTTTTTTAATTTTTTCTACCAAAAGTTTATTATTTTGCACAAAAGAAACACTAGGCCTCAAGCGGGCCGGGTCGGGCTTCAAAATGATGTCCCAGGCCTAGGAGCTCGGGTTGGGTCACAGGCAGGCTTCGGGCCCATTTTTACACTCCTAAGGCCTTGTTTGGCAAGTGGTGATTTTAGTAAAAAAGTCAAAAAGTTACTAAAAAAATCAAAAAGTCAACAATATATACCAAAAAGTCAAAGATTTATTTTTCTCTCTATTTTTTCACATCTTTTAGTAAAAAATCAAAAAGTCATCCCAAATATACTAGTTTTTTTTTACATCATATTTTAGCCAAAAAGTCAAAAAGTTACTAAAAAAGCCTCTTTTCAAACGAGGCCTAAATATAATTTACAAAATGAAAGAAAAGATCCACAGAGAGTTAAGTACCCTCCAGTTGAAAGGATGGATTCTCTACAATAATCTTTCTTGTAATAATCTTTCAATACTAGTTTAAGTAGGTAGTTGCAAAATTATTGCAAGAAAGTAACATAGAGAATCTTACTCCCTATAGCTGGCTTTTCGTTGCTCCTCGGAGGGGTTTAGTCTTTTCGGATACGATAACCCTACAGTTCGGACTACCGTGGTTCTGAATTTGATTTCACAAGTGCAATGTGAAACAGTGAAAACCCAAAAGAGTCCAAATCTGACAAATCTTTTGGGAACTCAATTTTCAATCAGAAAGCCAAAAATGGACCGCATTGCCAGATTTCAGAGTCGTCACCTAAATATTTTTAAGAAATTTATGAAACCCGTGACTTGTGCCAAAGGCCACTTGTCCGTCATAACCAAAGTGCCTTGGCTCGGGAACTTAGGTATGAAAGGGAAATGTCATGAATTGAGCACCCCACTCACCCGATCAAAGATTGACCTCTACTAATCATGATGTGATTCTTATATACAATATATGCTTTTGTTCCGATTATTATGCTATCTTTACTATGTGATGCACACAAGTATAGACAAATTCGCACATTTTGGAACGTTTTGATTTCATGTTTGTTTTGAATATGAGCTACTTAAAAAAGTGAGCCCACATATACATGTATCAAATCATCCCAATTTAAACGAAAAAGCCTTCATCCACTGGCAATCAAGAGGTATATCAACTAAGCACTTAGCCTCATGGTAAACATGCTTGATATGACAACGCCAACACACATGCGATATGCTAAAGCAAGAAATACTCATCTAGTACTTAACCGTAGCAAGCCAAAAGAAATAAAATCATTAGAAAAATGCATGCTCTACTAGGCAAGTGACTAATGCAGCACATACAAAATGCAACTATGATGTTCGGTTTATTAACATGGCATATGAATCATCTTAAAAAATGCGATAGCACACATATTCAAATAAGTAACAAATGACAATATTTGTTAGAATGATGAACCGAACCTGATGCATGCAAAAATGAATATTTATGTATGGTAATGATATGAAATCAAAATATGGTACTACATGCAACCATTATAAACGGGTAAATAAAAAGGAGAAAGAAATGGGGGTTGGAAGATATACACAATATTTACTGGTGTTACAAATTGGCCCTCGCACAAGGGGGTTTGAATGAACGTCCTAATTAACTAATTATTGCAACACCAAATTAATTAACTAAATTAACAAGTACTACAAATTCAAAGGAATTTAACTAATTAATTACAACACACTAATTAAGCTAAGAACTACAAGCTAATGAATTTTGAACGGGAGTCGAAGAACCACATGCGCAACTGAGAATATCCTTCCGAAAACTTCTCTATTTTACTGTCAGATTCTGTTCTGTTCGCAGTCAAACAATTATTCTATTTTTGCCCCGGCTTCTGCTTTGCTCTATCATGAAAAAGACACTGTCTGGCTAAAATGAAGTGGCTAGCCGGCCTTGGAAAGTGGTCGGCTGGATGGTAGGGTAGCCGGCCGGCCACTATTTTTAGGTGCTGCCCTGTTGCAGCAGAATGGAAATAGAGCAAAAACAAAGTGTTTCCAATGAATGTTATCCTCTCTGCTTCTCCCTATTATGAAACTGATCAAGGGAGGGGTAGATTCGATTCGCAAACCATCAATTGACGCAAACTCGTTGTGTGATGATCTATGAATTGATGGGACAAAAGCTCATTAGATGGAAATAAAAGACCAACAAAACCTCCTCCCTATAATGGAGTTACCTCAAGGGAAGTGGTAGACATTGCTTCTCAAATCATTAACATCACTAAAGAGTATGTAATGACTCGAGACACAATAGGTTCAATATAACATTCGATTGAACCTAAATCAATTTTATTACTCTTGTTACCATTTTTAGTCCAATTTTAACCTCTTTTACATTACCTTGCCATTCTTTATTCATTTTGTCCAAAAGTGATAGTTATGTCTACTAATGAAGAGAAGTGTCAAACAAGAAGTTGTTCTTAGCATGAGAGAGATGTAATTCCTTGGTAATGAACCTCCGAAGAGATTAAACCATTAAGGATGTAAGGGTCTCTTTCTCATACTTTAAACAACCATCAATTGTTTGAACCAACTCTTAAACAAATAAAACCAAGAAAGGGGGGATGGTGCATAGATGGTTATTGCAAGGGTGAGCACATGTATGAAAAGTATAAAATGAAAACTATCAACTGAAATAGGTTGGTGTCTAAGGCCTAAACCACTGAACCTATGAGGACTTACAACAATAGAAGCATGATATTCAAAGCATAAGCTATCTAAACAATTAAAACAACCCAAAAAACACCAAAGATAGTGTTGAAAATGGTTTGGAAAAGCTAGAAAGAGTAAGCAAAATGAAAGAGAATTGAAGCTAGTAAGCAAGCCTAGCCACCCCTCCACTTTTTGGACCTCAAAATCACATGTTTAGTCTCTGAAAAGCTCTAAAAATCAGTGGCCAAAAGTTGAGAAACAAATTGGAAACACAAGGATATAAGCTTAGAAGAAGGTTCAAGGAAGGGTGGTTAAATGCCTCCACCCTTGGTAGCTTTTAGATCACAAGTTTCAGCCCACAAAAACAGTCCAAAGACAGTGTAAAAACTATGAGAAAAGAGGAGGAAGAAGTAGTGTAATGATGGCAAAAGTTATACATTTTCAAGAGGAGTTACTCTTTTGTTCACAAACCACAAGGTATTCACTCTCAAGGGCTGAAATTTTAGCTTAACAATCTTAGCAAGAAGACTCAAAATATTGGTTTAGGGAGTGTATGTATATTGTAAGATAGAGAGGGAGAGTGTTTGGCGAGCTTTTGGCTCTTAGCAAAATTTTCTAACCTAAAACCATAAGAGATGGTCAAGTATATATAGAAATTAGGTTGCTATCTCGAAAATATTTGTATTGAGCCAGCTTGTGCAGTGCATGTACCTGGGAAACAGCTGACAGCAAAATATCCATCAGTTGAGAAACCTAGCCGGCCGACTATGTAGGGGAACAGCCGGCCACTAAAAGTTAGCCAGCTAGCCACCTGTTGGCCAACAGGCCTCTGGGTGTTCAGGCTTTAAAATATTAGATTCTGGTTCGAAGGAGGTGCAAGGTTTTAGGCTTGTGAAACTCAAAATCGAGGTCCATTGCTGAAGAAATTGAACAATTGTACAACGTATAAATTCATCATTAAGTGTTCATCCTGAGCCGTCTAAGTCTTATAGATAGTCAAAAATGAAATATCTATACTCCCCAGTTGAATTAGAAACATGAAGGAATTCTTTCCTATAATTTATTTTGAATTTGCCAAAGAAGATGACACGTGGCATTATTAAGTTTTCTGCATGGGATGATGGACCAATATTACCATAGCCTTGTTCACAAAAAGAATTCTTAAAAGGTCTCTGCACTCCCAAGAAGAATATGAAATAATAGTAATAAAATTGTCTTGTGAGATAATTTTCTGTTTTTATTTTTTCTTGGATTTATAAAATGTTATATTCAGAGAGGACATCAATGCTTTATAAATCTTTTTATTTAGGAAAAATTATATTGATAGTC